AAAAATTTAAAAGAACAGAAAATGTGGAAAAATAGAATGCACAAAATAATATAATCTAAGTGCATCGGAAATCAAATAGACGATAAAGGACAAAGCAGACAGAAAGGATTTTTTAAAAATCTAGCCATCGGCAGGGCATGGTGGCTCATGCCTGCAATTCCAGCACTTTGGAGTGCCAAGTGGATCACCTGAGGTGAGGAGTTTGAGACCAGCCTGGCCAACATGGTGAAACCATGTCCCTACTAAAAATACAAAGTTAGCTGGGTGTGGTGGCGCATGCCTGTAATACCAGCTACTCGGGAGACTGAGGAAGGAGAATTGCTTGGGCCTAGAAGGCAGAGATTTCAGGGAGCCACAATGGCACTACTGCGCTCCAGACAAGAGCAAAACTCTGTCTCCAAAAAAAAAAAAGAAAGAAAGAAAAAGAAAAAAATCTAGCTATCTGCCAATTTTCAAAAGCTCCACCTCACATAAAGACACAGAAAGCAGAAAAATAAAAATAACTGGGATGGCCAGGTGTGGTCGCTCATGCCTGTAATCCCAACACTTTTGGAAGCCAAGGCTGGTGAACTGCTTGAACCCAGGAGTTTGAGACCAGTCTGGGCAACATGGGGAAACCCTGTCTCTATTAAAAATACAAAACTTAGCCAGGTGGTGGCACAAGCCTGTAGTCCAAGCTACTCAGGAGGCTGAGGTGGGAGGATCACTTGAGCCCAGGAGGCGGAGGTTGCAGTGAGCTGAGATCAAGCCACTGTACTCCAGACTAGGTGACAAAGGGAGACCTGGTCTCAAAAAAATAAATAATCAATAAAAATAAATAAATAAATATTAGTACATGGTCATTTCATAATACCAATGGGTTCAATACACCAGGAATATGAAACTGTATCTAAAATTGAAAACATGGCCTCAAAATAAATAATAAAATGAAAATTAACAAATCTCTGTGGAGAAACTGGTATGTCTATCACCACAGCAGATTTTAACACATATCCCAGCAGTTGATAAATCAAGTGAACAAAACAACAGTAAGAAGAGAAAATACTTTCACAACAAAAGGATAAGACAGAGGTAATGAGTAGACGTAGAATCCTGCACCCATACTTGGTGGTGACATACTCTGTCTATTGGCTGTGGATGAAGTGTCATGGAGCACTTCTCAACCAACTGCAAGAACTGGTGTCACACAGACCAAGTTCTTTAACCACAGTGCCATTTAGCTAGAAGACGATTTTTTTTTTTTTTTTTTTTTTTGAGATGGAGTATCGCTCTTGTTGCACAGGCTGGAGTGCAATGGCTCAATCTTAGCTCACTGCAACTTCCGCCTCCCGGGTTCAAGCAATTGTCCTGTCTCAGCCTCCCGAGTGGCTGGAACTATAGGCGTGCGCCACCACGCCTGGCTAATTTTGTATTTTTAGAAGAGACAGGGTTTCGCAATGTTGGTCAGGCTGGTCTCGAACTCCTGACCTTGTGATCTGCCAACCTCGGGCTCCCAGTGTTGGGATTACAGGCATGAGCCACTGTGGCTGGCCAATTTTTTTTTCCAGTGCAACTAGGGGAAAAAAAAACCAAAACCAGGTGCCTGGAAATTGAAAAACACATTTTAAAATAATTTGTGAGTCAAAGAAAGAAACAAAGAAAAAAAAACAACCCTTGAGCTAACTTAAAGTGACAACACTATCAGAACTTGCTAGATACAGCTAAAGTAGTTCCAGAGGGTTAGCCTTAAATGTTTACATTTGAAGAGGTAGGAAAATCGATGAACCAAATTTATAATTTAATAAGTTAGGGCCAGGTGTGGTGGCTCACGCCTATAATCCCAATACTTTGGTAGGCCGAAGAGGGTGGATCACCTGAGGTCAGGAGTTGGACACCAGCCTGGCCAAAGTGCCAAAACCTCATCTCTACTAAAAACACAAAACAATTAGACAGCCATGGTGGCAAATTCCTGTAAATCCCAGCTACTTGGTAGGTTGAGGCACAAGAATTGTTTGAACCTGGGAGGCGGAGGTTGCAGTGAGCTGAGATTGTGCCACTGCACTCCAGCCTGGGTGATGGAGCAAGACTTTGTCAAGAAAGAGAAGAGAAGAGGAAGGGAACAGGAGAGACTAGAGAGAGGAGAGAGGAGAGAGGAGACAGGAGACAGGAGAGGGAAAGGAGAGAGGAGAGAGGGGAGAGAGGGGAGAGAGGAGAGAGGAGAGAGGAGAGGAGAGAGAGGAGAGAGAGGAGAGAGGAGAGAGGAGAGGGGAGAGAGGAGAGAGGAGAGAGGAGAGAGAGGGGAGAGAGGAGAGGGGAGAGGGGGAGAGGAGAGGGGAGAGAGGAGAGAGAGGAGAGAGGGGAGAGAGGAGAGAGGGGAGAGAGGAGAGAGGAGAGAGAGGAGAGAGGGGAGAGAGGAGAGAGAGGAGAGGGGGGAGAGGAGAGAGAGGAGAGAGAGAGGAGAGAGGAGAGACATAGGAGA